TCAGCAAACTAGACCTCATATTGACGCTTCCTCGAACGAGAATCGCTGAAATATCCGCAAGCAGCAGGGAAGTTGGTTTGACACCCATCTGCAAAGCTGTTCTCTCTAGTGTGGTCGTAAGTTTCATCGGATCGAGTTCTTCTCGCTTGTCCGAGAACTCTGACGAGGGGTGCGCGGAAAGTATAAGACAAAGCTCGAGGTAGAGGAGTACCATTCCCGACACACAGTCGAAAGGATGTGAGATCATCGGAGCTCGCACTTATCGGCTCTTCGACGGCCGCTTCAATGGCATTCCTTAATATGGAATCGGAATTCTCAGCACTATGATGGAACTCTACTCTCCGGCTGACTGATTTGTCGATAGATGTCCAAGTTGGCCCTCGAGACGATCCACGCGGAGGGTTTCCTGTCGTACAGGTCAGAAGTGCTAATGATGCCTTTAGGGGACGGAGCACGCGCTGGGGCTGGACTCCGCGATCATTCAGTTTGTCGTAGCTCTATCTCAGAGCGGGTTGACCCCTGAGCGACAGTCGAAGTGGATCATTGACAGAGCCCACCGATCCGCTGCGAGGCGAGCGGCTCCCCTGGAAAGGAAGATCGTTGACTAGATACTTGAATTTATTGGATGAGCCACCGCCAGAAGCGAATCGAGAGTATAGGCCCCGAACGGACCGCATAGCAGAGCTCGCGTAACGAGCATCATCCTTATGTGCGGCCCGAGGATAGAATCCTCCGAAAGAGGGCTTCGAGGGTGCGATAGGAAGAGGTTTCAGATTTTGGGAAACGAACTGGAAATATACTCGGGCTACTTCCCGGAGTCCGTCCCTCGATCGATGAGGTTCTCCGCAGGCTTCTCTCAGTACTCGGAGTAGAATAACGACCACCTGTCCCAGATTGGGACGGAACTAGCACAAGAGGAGAGATTCCTCCTGAATCTCTATTGAAGCTCATCCACATCAAGAGGACATCGCTGGCGAGTTGTTAGTGCAGCGACGTCACTTTCATGCTGTCCTCAATGAGAAGTGCCGAAGTAGAAGGGCACGACGTTAACCTACCGAATAGATTCCGAGCTGTCTCAGGTCCGTTAACAGATTACATCCCAAGAAATATCGCGAAGCCATGCGGGAGAGGCATCACTTCGTACAGGAGCGATCTCTACTGAACTTGGATTTAAAGTCTCAGCGATTCTCGTCGCTGCAGAGGCACCGCCAACTTCCGACCCGACTTGGTCCCCCTGCGTATCCTGAGCTACCGAGGTTTCGGTGATAGGATCAAGATCTCGGGCTGATGACGACTGTCGGCGGCTAAGTGGGCGTGGGCTAGAGCAGCGGTGGCCAAGTGGGAGTGCATTGGCCCCCGGGGGTCCACAGCAAAACTTTCGGGGGTCCACGGCGAGATATCGGGTGAGACGCGATCAGAGTGAGCCTTCACGGCAGAAAGAAGGATTGTTGGTCACATACACATTCGGTCAGTGACTCCACCCAGCACGTTCTAAAGCAAGATCTCGAAAGCACAGCATGTTCATACACACGGAGTCTCGAGAGCCGATAAGGCTCGGCTGCTGATTGTACTCGTGGTTACCATCCAGTTGACCGAATCCTGTTGACTGAAAGCGCTTAACCGATTTTAGAATAAATTAAATTAAAAATTCTAAATTGAACCGCCTATTTTTTCAGATGGGAGAGGAAAATCCTCAATCACTGTCCAGCATAATCCAATCGCTTCCCTCCCACTCACTCCATCATGAAAAAATCATGCAGCGATTCGAACCCATCATAACAGACACCTGATGCTATGCTCCTAATAGACTCCTGTCTCCTGCAGCGAAGATGCTCTCGCGACGCTGGTAGGTAGGTCCATACTTGTCCCAAGTGGTTTCAAACATAGCACGAATAGATGATCTGCCCGAATAAACTTGTGAGAAACCCATGTTCGGAAGCGAACGCGCATCCCGTTCTTGTTCCCGAACGCGTCGCCCCTCAATTTCGGTTCCCAGAAATTCAAATCTCGGTAGAGCTGGATTCGGTCAAACGGCTTCGGTCTAGTGGTTTCGGTCAAGTGGTGTCGGTTAAACGGTTCCGGTAAAAATTATTTGGTCAACAGGGTAGTCACCGTACTCGTATCCCTACAGCTCGGTATCTGTTCGCGAATCCATTGAATTTCTGCGCTTCAGGAGGAACTCCGACTGCCCCGACCTCGAGATGCGCTGGGATTCTCATGATTGGCTCTCTCTCGCTTCTCACTTCATCCGGAGAACTTTACACATGAAGCGAATGGATGGGAGCAATGTGGGAAATGGGGGGTCCACCAGCTCCTACGAAGGCGGTTTGGGAGTCCGCTCTCCCTAGTGCGGCCACCGCTGGGCTAGAGTGCCCCAGCCGCCTGCGTAACAGGATTCTCTGTTCTGGTCGAATGGAATCACGTAAGTAAACTCGGGGCTTTCATTCCATCTCGAGTATTCCACTCGGGGGTGCCCAGACTGCCGTAATTGCACATCATGACCGAGTCGTTGGTCCGGAACTTCCGCTCCCCGACGAAGGGCTCGGCCCCGCAGTCGCTTCTGAAGTGTTTTGATTTGGTCACGGCTTTCTGATTCCGAGAATTTCTCACTGATCCGATCGTTGTGGTCCTCGGCTCGCGCTGATGGGTTTCGATATCGCTGCTCTGAAAACGGAGGTGCAGCCTCGGATGTAAAAGTCTCCTACGAAGGAGTTTCCCCTTTTGACTGAAGTTTCCTCATCCATGGTGCGATCGTTGTATCATTGATGCCCGTTATGCCGACCGCGAGACCGATCTCGAAGCGAGCTGGACCGCACCGAAACTTGCCCAGGATTATCATCTCCTCAAAGTGACACGTACAGATTGTGGAAGAAAAAAAATCCCCGGGGTTCCCGAGTCAGGGACTCAGGTGGTTTGTGGGCGTAGAACTACGTGAACACGGAACACGTAGTTCCGTGAGTTCGAAGATCTGCGAAAGATTTCCGATGCTACCCTCCGGTCGACGAAGGGTATCACGAGATTTCCTCTGGCCGTTGTTCAAAAGACGTTTTTTAGTTTGAGGAAAACGAGATCAGAGAACTCAACTGCGGGAACGGGATTCGGTCGGTAGCAACCTTCGAAGACTTCGGCAAATTTTCTAAACTCAGAAATGTTGACGAATGACATCAAAATCTACTTAATACTCAACCGACAAACTTCAATCGAATATACGGTCCGATATCTGCACCGAGTGCGGGGTCGTTTTCCGCTTGGCAACCCGCAATTCGGACGGCAACCGGTACGTGACCGAGTGCCACACTTCCTCGTGGAGGATATAAGGATTGGAGAACATCGCGACTATGCGTATGAAAGGTACATTAGATTCCATGACCATGTCCGCCTAGGAGAAACGCTGCTACATGATGTGCTCTCCCGATGAGATCTCATATTGCCGATCTCAAGGAACAATCATTGCATGTCCGATGGAGGATTTTTCGAGTATCGCGAGGCCGCGCATCCGCATCTAGACGATGATGGGGATGAATTAATGAAGGCTAATAAAATTAGGTTCTTAATGGAATGTCGAAACCTTAGAATGATCATGATTCGGCATTGTAAGGATGGATTCCCTTATCCTCCTTTTCGAGACCATCACTGGGCGGCGGCACTCAGAAAAGAGCTCTTCATTCTGGAATGATTTGTCCCAAGGCGATAAAGACACGTTCATTCATTATCAATGCTGCGACAGGACGACAGCACCGTTTAAAAAGTTTATCGTTGGGTGAACCACTCCCTCCCAATCGTCCGCTAAGCCGTACGGCCCGCCGTGGCTAGACTCTCTTAGCACCACGTTGCGTCCTGCCGTCCTGCCTGATAGGTGATTTCCTGAGGATCACTTCGGTTGAACTGAACTACGACTTCTCGCCCTTGTTCGTTACGGGAATCTGCTTCGTATCGCTTGTCTGAACACTCTGTTTGTTTTCTTTTGTCGCGATTATGGCTGACGATGTATTGGGCGCAACTCGTTCTTTTTTCTTTACGGAGTCCGGCATCCTTAGCTTGCTAGTCAGAAGGTTCTCCGCCGGTGTCCTTCCACGACCATTGACATCGACCAATGAGGAAAGGACACGCATGAATGTAGTAGCCAAGGCTAGAATGAACGACGAGAGTCCATTCTCATAAGAGGAGATATGAAATGGAGAACGCGCGCACATCGTTTTCCGCTGTCATTATACAACCTCAACCGGAGGTGTTAGTTGTCTTCAACATCGTCGCGGGGTGGAGGAAGAATTGAGGAAAGTTTCAACGAATAATTTAGCAAAAACTGAGGCGATCCTCAAGGAATAGATCCATCTCTAGCGGAGGAGAGATTCTCCGACCAAATATAATTTAAAGTCAGAAAGAGGGAATTTCTGGGCCCATCAATCGACATAGCGTTTCCAGAACAGTTGATTAGGACTAATCAAGGTATGCTGAGGGTTTCTTGCCCTCAGTTTTTTCAGCCTCCGAGTCTTCGTTCCGACGTTCTGCGAGAACGAGCCTACTTCTTGGCCTGTATTTTATGAAATTATAAAGATAAGGGGGAAATTGTGTAGCATGAACGGTGCCTCATTCTCAGCCGGACATATTCAGCCATCACCATTTTCATTGTCAAACGCTCTGTTTCAGAGAAATAAGCTCGACAAGTTTGTTACACAGGTGACTCGCATAGAAAAAGTGCGTAAGCCTCTAGCAGACGACCCCAGCACATACGCATGCTATTTCCGAAATTCTAATTTTTTCGAGCTTTGGCCCCCCAATACTCCCCATTGAAGTTGGTGCCCGTTACCGGGGGCTATAGCGTAGTTCTACGCTAAAACAGAGATTTACTGAGTTACACATTTATCTCTCATCTCAGGGTAGAATGCTTCTCTTCAACTTCGAGAGACAGGTATAGCATGAATATTTTCGAGATATGTCCGCTGATCCCTCCCACAATGATCGTTTGTCCTTTGTAATCGCGTATGAACTTGTCGCTTCGATCAGGGCAACAAAGGCCTGATTTCCGTCCCGAGGCTCACGATCTCCTGCTTGAGCTTCCTCGCACGTTCCCGCATGAGTCCGTTTTGTACCCAAGGTAGCAGGCTCGGTGACGATTCCGGCACACATTTCAAGAAGTCCGTCAGGGATAAGACATCGCTCAACGCCGTAAGCAGATGTTGGGCGAGCGGCTGAGAAGTCTTCGTGTACTTCTGCGCGAGTCTGACGATGATTCCCGAGACGGGCTCGAAATCTTCCGGATCCGCGGATGATGACTTCGATAAGGGCAGGAGACAGGCGAGTTTCAAAAGATCGGGAATGGAAGATTCATCCAGAAGCTCAGGCATGAGAACCTCGTGCCGAATCTTCTTCGGGGCGCTCGCCAGGACGACGACGCCGTAGAGCAGGCCCGCTGTGCATCGGAGGCATACGCAATTCTCTTCTTCTTTACATTTCGCGTCCGGTCCCCGGCCATCGAACGGCGGGAGTTCGTACACCCAGTCCGGTATATTTCTGGTGATCATCCTCTTATGGAGTTTTCCAGCCTCGCCCCCCCTGTGCAGATGATTGCATACGTAATCACATATCGCCATCGCAATGTCCGGAGTGGCGACAGCGATCTTTTCTCGCAGAACTTTTGGACTTATGTAGGTACATTTGTTCAAGACTAGCGGCAACATGGATGGATATTTACAGAGCAGCGTACTGCCGAGCTCTGTGAGGAATCCTTCCTCCGTCAACAATTCTCTGATATCAGAATTCTCCAGAGCTTCTTCCACCACACCGGAGTCGGGCGAAGAGTTCCTGAGCGCAGCATCGATAGTCAGACGCGGGGCGGCATCCTCGATACGACGATAGAATTCCAACAGTCTCTCCGAACACGCTTCGCCGTGAACTCGAACCTGAAGACGTACCACGTCTTCCGCCCGTCGTAGAACAACGCGGTCCCGAGAGAGCACAAGATCCCCGTAGAATTCACTGGTGGTTGGCTTCAGCAAAGAATAAACGGTGACGTCGCCCATATCACGACCACTCACCACAACCAGGTGGTCCTGAGACATCAATAAACAATTCATGCTCATCAAATGCGTACTCAACAGGAAAGGGTCCCAATCTTTCGTGATTCCCGGTATGGGCACGGAATAGGTGCGCAGCATCGATGGCGTCAAGATGTGAAGAAAGCATTCGTCCACCGCGAGACTCCCGGGCTTCTCGGGGAGTTCCAATTCACCTCTAGCATCTGCTCCGAGGACCCCGAATAGTTCGCATTTGTTTCCATGGGCGATGATGAGGGTCACGTATTCGACTTCGCCCTTCTCGGGGGAGAGCGGATCTTGATTCTTCTCCTCGGAGCGATTCACGTATGACACAAGCTGCATGAAGTGTGGCTGAACCCTCTTGAACAGGATGACTTTCGCCTGATATTTCGAATGACTGCACAAGTTCTCAACTGTGATGTTCAGGCCGTATATTGGCCTACCGGGCCGGTAAGCTTCGTTGAAATCTTCAGGTACCTCAGATCGGGAGCCCCCCTCGGTACTCGTGAGCGATGAGAGAGATTGCCGATTGACGATCAGATCCGGTGAGTCGAAATTCCAGATGATTTCATCGTCCGGTGTCTCATACTTCTCCTCGAGGAGCGTGAACACAAGCGTGAACTTCGAAGTACTGAGAGCCACTACGTTTTCGCTCAGACGAATTTGCTCGACTTCCTCCACTCCGTGGACTTCGAACGAGGGCTCGAGATCTTCGTAGACAGTGATTTTGCGACCGTCGAACACTGCTAAGCGACCACTGGTCTTACACCAGGCGAAGCAAACGGCCACACCTATTGTGGTCAATCTGAGGTCGGACCACCATGATCGATAAACCTGTAGAATTTTGCCCTCGACCGTTGCGATATGATTATTGGCCTCGCAGTACGCCAATTCGTCCACCACGCTCCGGGTCTCGAAGCTGTGGGTCTCGACGCCTTTCTCGCCCAGATCCAGGACCCGGAGCATCACTTTCGTGAGACTAGTCACGAGGAGCTTGTCTGGCGCAACAGAAATTTTATCGGTCGACGCCGGCAGGGTGAAGACGTCCTGCGCGGTGAAGTTGTAGAAGTTCTGCATTTTGATGCGGGAGGCAGTGTCCGATCATCTAATCATCGATGACGATGATATTCCGCAATTCGAGTTCCTCTTTCGGCTGCAGAACCTGTTTCCGACCCCGTTTGATGCCGCGGCTCTGACCAGGTTCCGGATTCGACGCGGCGTTCGCTGTTAGGACTTGCTTGTCCGGTTTCCAAGTCCGCGGGCAAATCTCTCTGCGGATCCCGGAGCTCAGCGAGAAAATCGTCACGACCCCGAAGGCATCCACGATCGCCAGGGCCAAAGGTGCGTCCCCTTCCAGCGGCAGACAGTCTCGTACTTCGAAGAACTCCTTTCCTGTGAACGTCTTGCCGTTCCCGATAACCACGAAAATGACCTGAAGAAAAGCGAGAAGAGATTTAAATCTCGGAATACCGGAGGAGAGCTTTTCGAGGGATCTCAAATATCACCGAAGTCGAACAATGACGAGAAGATCAGTCCAACCTCTTTCGACTCTGGCTTCTGTTTGCCTCGGATGAAGACTTTCTCACAGTGAGCACAAACTTCGATCTCGGCAGTGAACCAACGCAGAACACACCGAATGTACTTCCGAGCGATCGAGTAGTCATCGGGAATCCCTTCGGCCATGATTTCTCATGCTGTGGTAGATTGAGATAGTCTCAAGGAAGGGAGAAATCTCCTTGAAGAGGCTCGATGATCCGAGAAACACTTCCGAAGGAGATCGGATCCACGATCGTTCCGTCGATGTTGAACTCTCCTGCTGTGCGATTCACGGAATCCACTCGGGGATCCGAGATACTGGTCGAGCGGGGCTGATATCTCGAATTCGGAGCATCTCCTCGAGAGCAAGATTCAGCTAGGTCCCGAAGATCAGCTGATTCCGATTCCGGTGGACTTCAGATGTTCGAAACGAGCCTGTGACGCAGATCAACGGTCTGACGAGTGCTGGTGCTGGATTCTTTAGATAGACCTCTCTTTGTTCGAGTCGACTCAAGCGAAGATCAGTGGATGAGAGCACACCTGATAATTCTGGCACTTCGCGAGAGAAAAATCACTTTGAAGACTTCGCCGACCGCTTCTTGTATCGCGGAGCTTGCTGAGCGCTGGAACTGCGCTCATTCGCAGATGGGCCCGCCGGTGTTCTCCCCGATGTGTGTTGTTTTTCATAGACGAAATCGCAGACGAATTCGAGGGCGAGGGAACTCGATATAGAGACGCGATGGGAGCAGAGGTCTCAGTGGCGGAGGTAGTCTTAGCTGAATCAATTCCTGGGATCCATCTATCCCCAACAGCCTCCGAATAAGGGAATCGCGATTTCGGAGACGTCAGACAGGAGACAGGCCAGGGGTTGTCTAACGATAAGCACTGCCGACCGGAGTGTAGAGAGGAAAGGAGCGATGATTTCTGCTGAGAGCCCGAGCCACTGCAGGCGGGCTCTTCCTCCACGAACGATCGATGGTCGGTCCTGCAGTCAACCCGGAGAAGTGGTCTCGCGGGGCTCGCGTCACGATAATTTCTAGGTATAACTCCGAAGCCTCGCTTTATATTCATCCGCAGTTGCGCTTCCGACGCTCTGCCTCCTCGCTTGAGCCCATTGTGAATCTCCCGCGGAGTCCTCGGTGGGAAAGCCCTTCACGCGTTGATGTCAAGCTTTTCTTGGCCTCCAAGCGGCATTCAGGGGGGACTTCACAATGGATTTCGGACTAGGAAACAACTCAATCAGAGTGATCGCCTAGCTCAACAGCTCGGAGCACCTAGTGTCCAGGATATCGCTCGGTGCTGTGAATCTGATCCATCACCGGTGCGGAGTCTGGCGACAGTCGTGGCTCCTGCCATCGGTTCATACCCGGGAATCCCCGCACAATTTCCGTCAGCGTGGGCTCAGGCGCGGAGTCTTGGGTGTGGAATGTCGAAGAAATTCCAATCTAGCTTCCTCAAGCTAGTAAAGCGAATAGCTGGCTTCGAAGAAGAGGCTTCTGAGCATTTCCAGTTGTTGAGCTCGGGAAATTCCTCAACGTCCGATAATCGAAATCCGGCTCGAGCTCAGATTGAAAATCGGAATCACCTTCGGAAAGCTCCCCAAGTCGCACCATTTCCTTGTCTAGTTGTGAATCAAAAGTTCCCTGTCGGATTCGGTTCGATTTTCGAATCCCCATTGGAAGTTGGATCACGATGCCCTCTCTTCATCTTATGGCGAGTTCGTAGCTCATTCCTCCTCCCTCCCAATGCTAGAGTTTTTGCAAGGTCCCTGGCAAAAAACCATGCTGTATCGTTCCGCCCAGAATCCTGCTAGTCTTTAGTACTGCCATCAGGATTTGCCTAAATCTACGGTTCGAAGATGGAATATCTCAGATTGCTCCAATATATGGCCCTTTCGGCACTGAAAGCGTGAATCGACTCATAATAAATTTTCGATTAGGTATTCGAATTCCTGCAGGGATGCCGCTGGGCGCGGCACACGGGCATGAATGACAGTATTCCTCTCAACGCACGATGCGGTCGCAGTGTATCTCCGCCCCAATGCCTCATATGCGTTTCTGGAAACTGCGGAGTCGTATCTAAGAATGTCGACACCTAGCAATTAGAATTTAGGTGCCCGATTGAAAAGAGAACGCGAACACTGTGCAGCCCACGAGAGTCTTTGCGGGAGCTTGAAGTCGATCTCTGGTACTATCATGAATCGCTCCATGATGTGGAACCGAATTCCCGAAGTCAACCCTGTCATCGACGACCATGCTAAGGATACGGTAAGCGCGCTAACCACCATCAGACACCGAACATCTTCATCGAAAGCTGACTTCGCGGGACAGTCATCCACGCGGAGCTGGATGAAGTACAGTATGTGAGTAGAATTCTGTGGAAGCTATCAGCAGCAAGTCCCATCGACTGATTGATTGGGCGATGTCGCCTGTTAGCCGATGAGCAGATAAAGGGGCTGGCTTAAACTTTCGAGGGGTTGCGCTGGTAGTACGAAGTCATTGAAGAAAGGAATCCTATCCTGCACGATCCTCGGTCGACACACCAAAGACGCACAGTTCGCCATCGTCGCCCGGCCAACCCTCGCCGTTAGAAAGTCGCAGCTCGATGAGCGAATCTCTAAACTTGATCCCGGCGATCGAATCCCGCCCCCTCCTTCTGGCGCTCCTCCCTCCATGCCCCCAATATCGTTCCACCAATCCTTGATCCGTAAAATACTCGGCACCCTTGATGTTTCCAAGGCCCCAGGCCCTGATGGTATCCCAGCAATAGTCCTCAAAAAATGCGCCCCAGAACTCACTCCTGTACTCTGTAGACTCTTCTCTCTCTCATTCGATTCAGGCGTATTCCCCGTTTGCTGGAAGCTTGCCCTCGTTCAACCTATCCCCAAAAAAGGCGACAAATCTTCGCCCTCTAATTATCGTCCCATTTCACTCGTCTCCATCCTATCCAAGGTTATGGAAAAGCCGTAAACTCCCAGCTCTTCTCCCATCTCGAACAGTCCTCCCTCATTAGTGATCGGCAGTATGGCTTTCGAAAGGGTCGCTCCACTGGCAATCTTCTGCTCTACACCAACCATCTTCGTAACTCTGCTATTGAAAAACATGGCGAGACCCTTCCTGTTGCTCTGGGCTATTCCAAGGCATTCGACAGGGTTTGGCATGCCGCTCTCCTGAATAAGCTCCCTTCCTTTGGTCTCCAACCAAATCTCTGCAACTGGATTTCAAGCTTCCTTAGTCGACGTTCCATTAAGGTTATGGCCGATGGCGCCCTCTCAAGATCATTCCCAATGAACGCAGGTGTACCCCAAGGCTCTGTACTCTCTCCAACTCTCTTCCTGTTGCACATCAATGATCTTCTCGCCTCCACCTCAAATCCCATACACAGCTTTGCCGACGACAGTACACTCCATGCTGGTTACTCTTTCACGAAGCAGCCGACCTCTACTCGAACAAATTCCTCTAGAAGCACCTTGCTCTCCGCCATCGATTGCGATCTCCGGAAGATCCCGCGATGGGGCTCAACTAATTTGGTCCGGTTCAATTCCCTGAAGACGCAGCTTACCATTTTCACGAAGAAAACCAAGCCCTTTAGTCCTACCATCTCTTTTGGCAACGAAACGCTCGCTACTTCCTTCATCGAATATCACTATTTTAGGCGTGTGCCTTTCGTCAAATCTTAAATGGCACCATCACATAGCAAACATGGCCAAATCAGCTTCCCAAATACTAGGATTCCTCTTCAGAGCCAAACGTTATTTTTCTCCATCTCACCTTCTTTTGCTCTATAAAACCCAAATCCGTCCCTCTCTTGAGTACTGCTCGCATATCTGGGGTGAAGCCGCTGCTTCATCCCTCTCTATCCTGGACTCTATTCAATAACGTGCTATCCGTCTCATCGGTGATTCAGCCATATCCTCTTCTCTTTAATCTTTATCCTCACGTCGCAACGTCACCGACCTCTGCCTATTTTATGGATACTTCCATGGAGAATGCTCAGAAGAAATCTCTTCCCTCGTTCCCCCTATTTTGGTCCCCGCCCGTGTAACCAGAAAGAGTACCAAGCAGCATCCCTACTCTGTCCAACTTTCCTCCAATCGTACTGCGCAATTCGCCTCCACTTTTTCCCCCGTACATCGCGTCTATGGAATGCCCTTCCCCCTCTCGTCTTCCCTCCAACGTATGATCCGAAACTCATCAAATCCAACGCTATCCGCTCTCTCCCTTCAAGTAAAGAGCCATAGGTTTTTTAGTGGGTATTATGTACATGAGCCCCGTACTCCGGTTGAATTTTCCACTCTTCTGGGTAGTGCGTCAATGCATTTTTTCCTATGGCTCTTTCACCTTTTCCTCCTACCTTCCCCTCAGTCCCCCTCCCCCTTTTCGCACTCGCAGTTCCTTTTGAGAATTATAGGGTCACCCCTTTGCGAGCTGCTACACCGAAACAAAAAAATCGAACCGGCTGCTCCGTCCCCCGACCGGATAATGATTCCTGAATGTTGGTTGTGATAACGAGGAACCCTCCAAGGTTCTGATCGTGAAACG